GGTCGTCCTTGCTTCTGAGTTTCTTTTTTCCAGATCTCTAGACCACAATGTTATCCCCTCAATTATCCAGTAACTCAAAACCTACCACCGAGTACTAAAGTAACCCATGATTCTGGAATTCTCTATTGTCATTTCTCACTGGTGCTTTTTTTCCCCCCTGAATGTCCATCAGGTGGTTTAACAAAAATCAGGAAGGGGAGAGATGAGACTACTGATAACCATCAGTGATGAGACAATACGGTTACTTCACTAAAGTCTGGGGGAGCTGATGATAAAGAAAGGACCACTGTTGACACGCAGTATTGACACAGTAGCCACACAAACCACATTCAGTATCTCCCTAAACCAGCTGCTCGCTTGCTTTTGGGGGCAATGTAATTGCTGCTCCCATGATTTCATGAACAATCCCCTCCTCTTCCAGCACCATTCATGGATTAGTTAATGAACTCGTAGGTTTCTGTTCTAGGCACAGCACAATCTGCAAATCAGAAGCTTTCCAAGTAGACTGGAAATGAGTCATTTTATTGTACACACCCCCAGTCACCTTGCTAACAGCCCTCAGGTTTCAGAACTGTCCTTAGATATTCCTTTCAAGAAACACATGAACTCCTAAATATGACCTACGTCCTCACCAACCCCTCTCCACACTGTCTCCATCCTTCGCACACACTGTAAACTCAGAGAAATGTGGCCAGGAGAGAGCCAGACTATTTAGCGTGATGCAATGCAGCCTGCGCAACTTTTGCATAGCAATTCAGCAAACACAGTTTTAAGCATTCAATTCTACTTCTACAGCTTCTTAAAATTCCCTGCAATATAATTATACTGATGGGAATGCAGAAAGATAATTGCTTTTAGAGGAAAGTTTCTCCTTTGTTCCATGTTCATCTGGCTTCCAGAAATGGAACAAGAGCCCTTGAACAGCAGAAATACGCATCCATGTGTCTCTAGTTATCATTTATTTACAAAGATAGACCTTGACAAATGTAATTTGTTCAATAAAATTAAAAGGATGCACGATAATTCACTTAGACAAAGAGACTTGAAAGGGGACGTCATCGGGAGCAGTGCCGTCCATCATTCCAAATGATCAGCTGACTTTGAAGAAGTGGCAGGTGTTCCCCTTTTGGAATGTAGCATTGAAATAGTATTTAGAAGGGGGAAAAAAAGAAAGAGAGCTAGGAATTGGAGCAATTCTTTATTCAGGCAATAATTATACAAATTAGATCTATGAAAGCCAGAGAATGACTGGGCCTTGAACCCTGTCTGTGTGCATAGAACAATGGGGAAATTAATAATTAAATCTATTACATATGCTCATAATTCAATACAAAAGATACCTCAGTAGTTCAAACACTCCTGTATTTTCATTTGAATAAGGCTTTTACACATTCTCCTCATTATATATGTATTATATTTTAAATTTAACAGCTTATTTTGTTGCCTTTATGTTTGAATTAATAAGGGCACACTTTAATGCACTAATGGGGAATTGCATTAGCCGGCTTTGCAGACATAACTTTGAAAAATCTCCAGTTTCCCGAGGGTGAAGTCAATTTGCCCCATAACGCGTTGTCTCACAGACACATCTGGAATCTTGGAAGAATAGCTCCCCTCTACAAGCTTCTGATTTGGGCCTCTGTATCTCAAAGAGGATCCCCAGAGTAGAAACCTTGCTAAATTGAACAGACCCATCAAGATTGTCTTCCGGATTTTGCAACCTCTTAGCCAGCTAACGTGGTTTCCATGCCTGGCTCATGTTATTTTCCCAGACAGCAAAAATAATTTTCTTATGAAAAAGAAAAGGTTTATTTTAAATCCAATCATTCATTTTCTCTTTTTTGCTCTCTCCCTCCCTCTCTCCCTCTGGCTCCCTTCATATCCCTATTTTTAACTCTTCATTCTACCTCTGAACCAGGGAGAGTGGCAAAGAAAAGGAAGTTAGAGAAGCAAAGAGAGAGAAAGAGAGAGAGAAAAGAAAGTCTATCTTATGGTGGGTAACGGGCGGCCCACAATTGCTGAGGTGCCAATTAATGGCTCCAGAATTACTGGGGTTCCAGGACATGGGAAACCTTGGTTAAACTAGAGCATTCAAATCCAGGGGAGCAAAATGAGTTTACAAAGTGGGGGTCCCAGTTACCTAGAAAGTAGACTGACGCCACTGGAGGATTGAATGCTTAGGATATGACCATTGGACTATATCCATCCCTCTACGGCCCAGAAAAGAGACAAAAGAGAGGGAGAGAAAGAGGAAGCCTCACCAAATGCTCCTATTTTGGTACGAAGTGGCTGCCAGCATACCCGGGGCTGCCCAGGCACGCGTGGAGGCGCTTGCTGCTGCTGCCACTGCGGTATGACAAGGAGTTTTGTGCCTTCGGAGGAGCGCCAAATCCGATGATGCTAATTGCATTGCAGATTTCTAGCATCATTAGCAATTCTTAAAATTACATTTGCCCTGCTTAAGTTCTCTATTTCCAGCTTGGTATACGGAGGGGGCAGGTCTCTGAAGGGGATATAGGTTACAGAGAAATTCAATTGGACACGTTGGCTTCAGGTGTGCAGGTGGAGGCTGGCCGGCGGGAATCCACAGACCAGGAAAAATGCTTGTTTGTCTTATTTTAAATGCTGATTGCCGGGAGAATAAACAAAACCCGCAGCTAAATGGGCCTTAAAGGAACGCTGGGAATTTTGGAAAGAAAAAAAGCCTTACCGAATAACGGTTGGAACTAGCCCTGTGGGTCCTATGGCGACAAGCACATCCAAACACCCCGAGCAATGGAGTAACTTGCATTTGAAATAGTTGGTGCAGAAATAACCACTTCTCCCTCTCCTTTTGTTTGTTTGCATTTAAAACAAATGAATAAAATCCAGATGAATTGGTGTTTTTGCTTTGTTTGTTTGTTTCCTTAAAGAGAGCATATTCGCTCATTAGGAGAGCTAGACAGCCAGCTCCAGAAATAAAAGCCCCAAGTCCACGTCTCTTTTGGCAAGGACACTTTCCCCCATCGTTCCTCAGCTCCAGCATCTCAGTATCCTTGGGAAGGGAAAGGGACATCTCCGGAGGAGAGCAAAGTCGGAACCTGCCTCTCCCAAGGCTGCTGGCTCCCGACCCTGGGGCAGGGCGCTGTGAGGCTGGGACTTTCCACTGCGGAGTCACTGAGAAGCCAGCAACACCACCCCCTCACGGGGTGGCTTCTACTCTGAATCTAGCAACAGAAAGGGGGCCAGCTCCTGGGCACTTTTTCCAACAATTCCTACCATGTAATTAAATTGCTAAGCATATATAAATATACACACACACATGCATGCACATACGTACACTTAGAAATATATATTATATATACAGCTGTATGTATAAACACATGCATAGAACGAATGTATAGCTTTTAATTGGGCTGTCTTTTAAAAATAATTAAGCCACTTTTAATGAAATTCTGTTTAAGGCTGCCAGCAAGCCAAGGAGCCATCTTTTGCAGAGCGTTAATAAATTGAGCCATTCACACGGAGGATGGTTAGCTGTACCAGTCGCTTCATAGTATTTATTAATAAACGATCTCAGTTCCCTGCCATGGGCCAAGGACCACAGGGTCGGGAGCACTGAGGCAAGAGCAGCAAGCCAGGTCTCTCCTGCTCACTGTCACAGACAGTCCCCAGAGCTGCAGTGGGTTCAGGGTGCCGAGCTGGAAGCAGGGTTTGCCTCCTCTCAGAAAGGATCACAGCCTGAATTGAAATTCTGCCCAGGGAATGACAGGGCGACCAGGGCAGGGCTAGGGAGACCTTCAGAGCTCCCTGTAGCATCCGAGTGCATGCTGGCCAGGGCGGAGAAGGACATAGGGACCAGTTTTCCCACCCTGTGTCCCAGCTTCCTCATCCACAGAGTGAAAGAAGATAACGCCTTGTCAACCCCATCATATCAAGAAGATAAAAACAGATAAAGGATTATTCAAATGTGAGGTGTTGACAGTGTGAATAATTTAAATTCTTAAAACAAGGGTAGAAGACTTTAACACAATGTTATAGGTCAACTATATCTCAATAAAACAGGCGCAAAAAGAGGGCAGTCATTCTCTAACAGCACATGGACAGTCTCTGCAGGACCAAACCAGGAATTCAGACAGGACTTCCCTTTAAGTTTTTCACAGCAAGAGGTATTTTGAGGGAAAGGAATGTCTGGTTTGGGTTTTGGTCAAAGGGATGGTTTACACAGTCTCACACTGAGAAATCTTTACAAACTATCCTGATTTTCTACCAAAAGCAAAGAGAGAGACTTGCTGCCACCGCGGGTCCGTTCCAGCGAGATGCTACCGCAGTATTCGGTGTCCCAGAACATGTCTCAAAGGGAAGAGGCCTGTGTGAAGTCCCCACAGTACACAGGAGGAAGCTGACACGCCCCTCCTTACACCGTTTATCCCGGTGGCTGGGCTCCATCGGGCATCGCTCTTGAAGATTCCTGAGAGAAGAAACGGAGCCAGTCAGCCCTCTTCCCTTCTGCCGAAGAGAGGAAAAGGCAGTGTAGCCCATAAAATGAAGGAAAACACTAATAACTCAGGGAAAGTTTCTCCTAATCTCAAACACAGAAAAGCAGGTACTTCTGAATGTCTGTAAGATCAGTTTGGCAAAAGACTGGGGCGAGGTTCAGATGATTTGACCACGCTAACAGCCATCATGTATTGGTCCGTGTGATCTGCCAGGAGGGCACTTCATATAGGTCCTGTGAGGAAGGCAGCAGTATTCCCATTTTACAGAACAGGAAACTGAGGCTCAAGAAGTTCAGCCGCTTATCCACAGTCCCAGAGCCCTCAGATGGCAAAGGCGCGATGCAGACACCATGAAGCCCACAAACGCGGGGCAGCTCACACTCCTTTTTCTTCCGCCAGTTCCTCACGCTCCGCCCAGCGTCCCTTTGGCCTCACAGCTGAGGCTGATGGGCTGTAGTTGAAATTTCCATCCACTTCCCAGGCCTGCGCTCCTAGGACACTGTGCTTACTAGCAAAAAAGGCAACTTCTGGGGCAGAAAAAGAAACTGCCCTTGTTCTCAAATCACTTCTAGATCTGACGACCCTGGTAAACAGGAGACGAATACCTAAAGCAGGCTTTCAGCACCAAGAAGGAAGGAAAGGGACAAACTGGGCCTAATTCCTAAGTCTCCAGAATGGGGGAAGCGGAGGAAGCCTTGATGCGGGGAGGGACCCGGATCCGGCCTAAACCAGCGCCTGCCGGGTCAAGACCAGTGAGGAGCCCGTGGAGAAAGGAGCGGGAGTGGGGGCGCGAGGGCGAGCGGGGACCGAGAGCCCCGGGGCGAGAAGCCATTTGTCCGGATGGGCAGAGGAGACTGGCGAGGTGTAAACGGTGAGGCCGGCGTGAGAGGACAGCAGTCGCCTTTGAGGTGAGGACACTTTATTGCCATGTGAGAGGCAATTGGGAATCTCCGCAGGACGCTGAGAAGGGGAAATGAGGTGGCCAAGTGGCGGGGACCCGGGGCTGCGGGAGTCCCCTTTGCTCCCTGGGCCGCCCCCGGCCCGGCTCCCCGCCGCCTCCAGGGGGCGCTCGGGGTACAGGGCCGGGGGACACGCGGTCCAGGGTGCGGCGGGCTGGAGAGCCTGGGACCCCTTCGCCGGGAGTCAAACTCCCTCCCGCCGCGCAGTCCCCACGGCAGCCTCTCTGGGCCAACCCCGAGGTGCCCATCAGGCAAACAGACTTTCTATCACGTCCGCAGCCTTTTAAAAATAGAAAAATCGGGAGGTAGATTTAGCACCCAAAACCCTGTAACAGTGCCACTCAGAGCAAATGAAACATTAATAACATGGCGGGGGGAAGCCGGGGAGAGGGGCAGCGACTGATGAGAAACAAACACGCTTAGCCGTTTGGTGCTTAAAATGCTGAATTGGAGCATCTTAACACCAAATGGGGCACGACTCCCATCGCCGGGCAGGACCACATCGGACCTTCCCCCGGAGTGGAGCAGGAGCCGTGCTTTTGATGGGAGGGCAGGGTGGCGAGAGGTGGCCAGCGGCAACCCTGACCCCGCGTCCTAAACCCGACAATCCCGCGGCGCTGCGACGAGTCCTCCCTGGCTGCGACCGCGCTTCGGGCCGCGAGGATGTTCCTGTGGCGCCACCTAGTGTCCGAGGCGCAGACAACGCCCTGGCGAGGGCTGCAGGGACAGGCTGAGACCAATCCTGGGACCTCAGACTCTGGCCCCCACCTTGGAATGGGCTTGTCATCCTGTGGACCAGTGACACCCTTCGACCGGACAAAAAGCCTCCTCTCCAAACCCTTCTTCCTTCTGCCACCAAACCTAAATAGAAAATTTGCCAGAATGAGTGGAATAAATGACACTCCCTTTCGGTGAGACGTCCATGAGGTGATGTCTGGTTTTTCCAAAATACAATGGCAGGCAGATTATTAATTCATCCAGAAAAAATATTGATGATGTCATCGTATAAACATGAGTCCGGAGCAGAGCTGAGCCTCAGACCATCTGGAGGGGCCGCGTCTGAGAAACGCTGAACTAGAACTTTGAATGGGACAAAAAAAGAATCTTGTTTTATTTAATGGTAAGTTGAAGACCTCCAGAGAAGAAGATTCTGCAGGATAACGGAAAGAATAGAGAGGTGGGAGCCAGGATACTAGGGTTCTGACACTGACTCTGTGGCCACTTGTCTGTGTGACCTTGACCAGGGGCAAACAGTTTTTACCTCTCACAACAATGCTGTGAAGTCCGAATTATTATCTCCATGTGATAGATGAGAGAATAAGGGCTCCAGGAGGTTACCCAAGGTCAGACAGCAGGTCAGTGTCAAATCCAAGCTTCAAACCCATGTCTGCCCAACTCTGAAGCGTATAGTCCCTTCGCAAGACATTAAGTCCCTCTGTGCTTTGGCTTCTTCCATCTGCAGCGTGAAGGGGCTGTGCCAAGTGGTCACTTGGTCCCTTCTAGAGGCAGCAAACTCTGATCTAAGGTCTCACTGGTCCCTTAAAACCTACTTTTAGTGCTCACAAACCCTGTGGTGATAACAGAAGGGCCTTTAAAAAGGATTTATCTACCTATAAAAACCATTGAATTTTATTTTCAGCTATGGGCAAAAGAACACCAAAACAGACGTGTTGGAACATCAAACCTCCTTTAAACTTTAGGACAGTGGGGAATGAGGAGAAAATCCACACGGGGTGTGGAGTGACAACTTGGGGATCCCTGACGGAAACCAGACCTTCGGGCACTGCTTCTCACTGGAGCCACTGGCCTCCAGGGGATAATTACCTTCTGATAATTGTTTAGACCTGATAAATACTTGAAATTGGGCAGCCAACAGTTTATCTGGCTACCAGTTCAGATCTGGACAGAACTAGATTAAGGAGTCAGGCACATTTGCAATAACCTCAAAGATAAACCCTTCCTATCTGAGGCAGTTTATCTCCTCCTCAGGGGTCATGTTGCCCAGTAACTGCCACCTCCAAAAGAAGGGAGGGAGAAGCACACCAAAGGGCTACAGATCGGTCCTCAGCCCTCTCTTCCTCCTGGCCTCACAGGTCCCCAGCTTGAGGACAAGGGCTGGTCCTCTGCCCTGGTCTGGAAAGCCTGGGGAAATAGGTTGGCAAAGTGGGAACTGGGCAATTAGACTCAAAAGCCAAGGTCACCTGACTCTGAGGTCCATGTTTTCCTCACGGGCTCTTCCTCCACCCGCAGAGGGACAAATGAAAGGAACTTCAGGCCTCTGCAGCAAAGATAAGGCCAGGAACTGCAGCTCAGGTCCTGGACCCTGCTGGGCCCCAAACTCACCAGGTGAGCAAAGCCAAGTTGAAACTTCTCCAAACCTCAGCCTCCTCACCTCTAAACTCAGAGCTTAGAACTAAGTAATCTCTAAGACCCTACTGAGCCACCTCATGGAACTGAATTAACCAGTAGGAACACTTGCTGGTTGCAAAGAGGCCACCAGTTTCCCTGAAATACCACCTCCCCCAATCACGGCCTTCCTCAGTTCTCTTCCCAGCCTAAACTGCTCTCGTTCCCCGGACGTACCTCTCTCATTCCCTGGTCACATCCCTTCATCCTCAGTCTCCTTCTGACTGTTAGCAGCTGGCTCTACCAGGCGGCTGAGAGCACAGGAAGGTCACCACCTCATAAAGCAGCCGCTCCATCCCAGCACTGTCCCTGGGTGTGGCCACGCCCCTTATTTTCCATCTGTCATCAAGACGTGAGGCCACCTGTTGCCCACTCCCTCCTTCCACTCTTCCACCTTCCCACACGCAGACTCTTCAGCTTCACAATATTCCGTTGGGGGGTGGCGAGCTTCTTCCTCAGACAAGATCCTTTGCGATCAGATGCTGAGCCAGCCCCACCCTCGGCCCCACTGCTCCCTCACACTCCAGCCTGGAGCAGCGCTCCCATTGGGAAGCACCAAAAGAGGTCTCCAACTGCCCTCAGCCCTGGCCTGCCACCATCGCTCTCTTTTTTTTGTAACCCTTCAGGGGCCTTTTGGGGACCCATCGTTGAGCTAAATTCCAGGAGAGAACTTTCAAAAGAAACTAATAAAGCATTCTTTTTCCAAGAGCCTTTTCTCCCTCAAGAAACTCAAAGGAAACTAGGAATCCTGCACCTCCCTTTCCTTTTGGGGAGGTGAGGGCAAGGAAAGAGTATTGCTTTTCTCTGAAAGAGAAGTCCTAGAGGGTTGAGGTAATTCCTTTGTGGCGACAGAATAGTCTACTCCCTTCCGAGCTCCCCCACTGTGCTGGCCTTACAGTCAGCATTTATGAGGTGCTGGTTAATTGAACGGATGCTACGTTCTGATGGAATGAGTCAGTATAGTAGATTAGAAAACTAGATACCAGCAAAGGCTGACCATTCCACCCCTTCTTCAGACCACCCCACAGCCCTCCACTTCCCTCTCTGCCCAGCCTCAGACACAAGCAATGGGAGAAAGCTAACATATGACTTCTAAGGAAGCCCCTCACCTGGCCCCTGGGCCAGTGTGCTGTCCCTGGGTGCCTCTGTGCTCCGCCTTCCCTCTGAGCAGTGATTCATGGCAGATATTAGGGAGGAAACAGCATCCTTCAATTCTTTCTACCATTTCTCCTATCTTTATAGGGTTCTTATTAAGTGGTATCTTCAAACTTATTTATGTGATGTCATGCTAGGCAACAATGTTGTCAACATGCCACTTTCCATGAGCACTGAATTCAATATAAATAAGACCCACATAAATGCCACATTGGTTTCATGCAGAATCTTCTCTAGGCATGACTGGAAGCATAAATATCCACAGAGAGAGTAGTGAACGCCTAAAGATCACCAGATAATGGCAACTTTTGCTTACCGGGTGGTGGAAGAGCTCTCCCTTCCTTCTCCTCATCTGGAGTGATTGATCCCAGGAGGCCCAGCTTCTTACTGGAGCACAACTCAGTATGCTCTTAGAAGCCGATTTAGAAGCAGGGACACAAAATCGTGGGGGGCTGTCCGTTGCCAAAGAGTCAAGTCATTACCCTTCACGTTTTTGTTAGTTCCTTTTTGAATGTTGTGAAAGACACACAGATAAATGTCTCTTTTTCTTTTGCTGAGGAAGATTAGCCCTGAGCTAACATCTGTGCCAGTCGTCCTCCTGTTTGTATGTGGGTCACCACCACAGCATGGCTGACAAGTGATGTAGGTCCACACGTGGGCTCCAAACCCGTGAACCTGGGCTGCTGAAGTAGTGTGCACCAAACTTAACCAGTATGCCACAGGGCTAGCCCTAGACTAATGTCCTTTATCCCTGGTTTCATATGGAATGTGAATGGGATGGAGGAAGTGGGGAAGGGAAGGAAACTAGCCTTGGAGCAGGTCACGGGCCCAGCACTGTGTTGGGAACTTGGCGTTCTGCCCAAGCCCTCCAGTCTTGGCCAGTGGGGAAAGGAAGCAGGAGTTACTTCTTCTTGCATATGTGAATAAATGCTCATATTTGAAAAGAGCTTGAGCTGCAACCACACATGATGGAGCCCCCACAGGCTCCCCGTGTCTTCTCTGAGAGCGTCTCTTTCCTTTAATCAGGAAGAGCACGCTTCTTCATCCTCCGTGACTTTCATCATGCCGTTCCACTTGCCTTCAGTGCCTACCTATGCTCCACACCCTCCTTCCCAACCCCCTTTCACTGTTCAGGACTTGTTTAGACATCATCCCCAAGAAGGCTCCCTTGATTCTCTCCTGTCCATCTGGGTGGGCACCCATCTACACAGACGTCTTGTACTGCATTTGTCACCACTTTGTTGTAATACCCTGCTTATTTGTCTTGTTTCCCACGTTACTGTGAGCTCTTTGAAGACAGGGTCTTGCTCATACTTGCATCCCCAGCATCTGTTGGTTGAACCCTAGGCCACCACTTGCTGGAACAACCCCCCTTCAGTCTAAGAAAAAGATGCCCTTCTGGAAGAATGCAGGTCCATCTCTCCTACCCACCCCATACATACACTATCAGCCTTCAAGCAAGGCTTGGCCAGCATATGACTCCCTGGTTCAAATCTGCAAAAGAAGCTCCTTCCTCCTAGTGGATGCAGCCCTACAGCAAGGATCAAGGCTTGGCAAGGAGTCCATGAGCTAGATTTCTGTACCTACTTGCCCCTGACCCCAGGCACCCTTCACGAGTGTATCTGGTGGCCCTGGTTGGGTCAATGACTCAATCATGAGCACAGTGACCCACCTCTCCTGACCTCTGGCTCAGCTTCCAAGACACCAGGCTGCCTTTCTACCCTGCTGCTTCCTGCCCCTCCCCACCTCACCACAGCCGCTCTGGAGTGAAGAGCCCGTGTGTCTCCAAAGGCACAATGCCCTGTGAAACCCCAACCTGGCACCCAGGAGAGACAGGCTGCTGAGGTTCTGTTTCTTCCAGGCCCATCGCCGGCCAGCCTCCATTTGGGGCTGGGCACGTGGCTCATTTACATGGCTGGTTGGAGCCTTGGCAGTTGCAAGGGCTCAGATAGTTTCATATGTGTGGCTCATCATTAAACCTCCCCTTCAGGGTTTCTTGCCGCCTTTGGTTTGTGTCTCAATCTGGAGCAAATTTAAGCAAAGGTTTAAGCCTCTGTATTTCCTTGGTTTAATTAATAATTCATAATAAAAATTTAATCAAGGCATAAGCTTTTGTGGAAGGTTATAAAACACTTTTATTTGCCCTGGAGATCAGAATGACCACTTTCTAAATCTGTGAAGTGATTTTTTTTTTCCCAAATGAGAACATTTTACTCTCAACTGTAAATTTCAGCTGTTTGCCATATGTAACCACAGAGAATCTGTTTATTGACTTAGTATATTAGAAGTAGTTAGGCAGGAAGAAAAATAAACCCGAACTCCAGACGGGAGAAAATACAGGGAAGGAACGAGGAGTTGGAGGTAAAGTTTAGCACAAGTCTGGCTGAAAGTATAACAAGGAGAGACCAATGACGGCACCCATCTCCCAAAGGAGAGGACAGGGATAGCGACCAGACCTGGAGACAAAGAAATTGGCTGGATGGCAATTGCAAGCTAGTCAAGATCTTTGGAGAAAAAAAGCAGAGAATGCAATGGAAAAAATGGAGCAGTGAAAGGATGTCAGACGCTGGAGACGAGTGTCAGGGGGCTGTGGAGCCCTGCTTATTAAAGTCTGTAACACGGGCCAGGTTTCCACCTGCCCAGATGGCAGAGAGGGGTTCTTGCCTAGAGGCAGAGAGAGAGTCCAGGCCAGGGTGACTCGGACCCCCATCCTTGGACAAAGCTAAACCACTAGGAAAACTACCTCAAAATAAGGATTCCTCGGCGTCCAAGTTAAATGCCTTTCAAAGCCCTGAGGCGGCTGCGCTGTGCAGCCAGGTTTGGGAAGCCGTGGTCCAGGTGACCTTTCAAGGATCAGCACTAACTCGCTGAGATTTTTTAAATTAGGTCAAGAGAGGAAGGACAGAGTGGATGCAGAAGACCTGGGCCCAATCCATAGATTCCTGCGATAATGTATAATAATCACTTGTTCTGAAGTGTGTGGTTGCCCCCTTTAATCTGACAACAATCCAGAAAGAGGGGGATTATTGTCCCAAGTTTACAAAGGAGGAGATGGAGCCTCAGAGAGGGGAGGTGACTGGCCCAAGCCATGCTGCTGGGGCGCGGCAGGGGCGGGTGCGTGTGGGGGACTCCTGGCTGCAGACCCATCCTCAACCCCGATAGCCTGTGGACCAGTCCTCCCTGAAGGACCTCCTTGAAGTCAGAGGAGGTGTAACACAGGGGTTGAGGCTGGGAAAGGTTATGAAGGAGAAGCCCTGCACTGCAGGCACCGGGTCAGACTTGGGAGTCCAGCGTGGGATGGATACAAAGAAATGGACGCCTGGAGCCTAGTGGCCACCAGCAATTTTCCCACGTGGAAAAAGTCACTTGGATCCTAGCTTGGTAGTATTCACTTTAAATAAGAAGTCTGGGCCTTTCTTTGTTCAAGCCACACCCCTCACCTCCAGCCCCGGCCTCAGCCCCAATCTTACCCCCAGACTTCCCATGCACCCTGGTGTGAGTGGCTAGCACACACCGGGATGAAAAGCTCTTTTGAGAGAAAGTGCTAAGTGGAGGCCCGAAGGACCAAGGTGTTGCAGGTGTTTGTGCGTCTGGTTATAAGAAAAGTTCCTGGGCTTCCGAGCCGTGACCTAAAGGCACTCACTTCCGAGCGGAGGGCGTCAGCACAGAGGAAGAGACCAGCAGTGCTCCGAGGAGCCTTCTGAGCTGGCGGCATGATGCGTACCCTGCGGCGCTGACGGGCCCACCTGCATGAATGGGCTCCACGCTGGCTTGGAGGCCCCCCTTCACTGAGGGCTTGGGTCAGTCCCATGAATCTCTCCATCACCTACCTGTTGGTCTGTTTAAATGCATATCCTTCCTCATTACAAAGGAGATTGGAGAAACCTTACATAAATGCCTGTATGATAAACTGCAAGTGGGTTAGAAATAAAAAGAAAACACAAAGCTATGGAACATGGAACAAGGATGCAGCTACAGCAAAAATTCCAACTACATATGCTTATTTTAAATCAGGCATAGATTTGTCTTTGTTTTCCAGCTGCCATGGCCAAACAAAAAGTTGGAGGTGGGGGCCAGCCTGGTGGCATAGTGGTTGGGTTTACACACTCTGCTTCGGCAGCCCAGGGTTCATGGATTTGGATCCCAGGTGCGGACCTACACACCACTCATCAAACTGTGCTGACTACGCATCCCACATACAAAATAGAGGAAGATTGGCACAGATGTTAGCTCAGCGACAATCTTCCTCAAGCAAAAAGAGGAAGATTGGCAACAGATGTTAGCTCAGGGCCAGTCTGCCGCACCAAAAAAAAAAAAGAAAGAAAGAAAGAAAAAAGTTGGAGGCAGAGTATCTGATTTGTTAGAGATTTCAGTGACCATAAGATAAAAACAAACCAGGCTCATGAAATAAGTCAGTCACAAAAGGACAAATACTGTATGTTTCCACTTATGAGGTCCCTAGAGTAGTCAAATTCATTGAGACAGAAAGTGGAACGGTGGCTGTCAGGGACTGGCGGGGGAGGAGGTGGTGTGTTCTTGTCGGATGGATACAGAGGTTCAGTTGGGAAGATGGAAAGAGTTCAGGAGATGGACAGTGGTGATGGTACACAGCATGGTAAACGTGCTTATTGCCTCTGAACTGTATGCCTAAAATTGGTTAAGATGGTAAATTTTGTGTTATGTGTATTTTACCACAATTAAAAAATGTATAACTTGAAAAAAAAAAAAGCAAACAAATAATCAAAAATACAACCAGGCCCTCAGGAGAAGCTGAACCACTTCTGATCCTAAGATCGGGAAGAAGTTTCTCCTTAGGGCACCACTAGAAGACCTGCTCGTAGAGGATGGCGTCACATGCCGACAGTAGAGGCCTTTCCTGGCTCTCAACCTAGGGTGATGGCTTGACACTAAACGCAGTGCAGTCAAAGTGTACAGTGGGGCAAGGGCAGTGTCATGCAGGCCAGACAAGCACACTCAGGCTCAGCGAGGCAGGAGAAGCCGTCTGCTCATGTGGCTGTCCTCCTGCAGAGGCCACAGCGTAGGGGACCTTGTGACAATGCCACCGTTGCCCAGTTTAAATGAGACTTGCAAATATTGCCACTTGACCACCCACCAGAGTGAACACTGATATGAGGCTGGTGCCCCCAAGTTCTCCAGCCTTCAAGGCCGAACTCTTCCCTAACTCAGCTCTCATGCCAGGAGGCTGTGGGAAAGCCAGTCTTCAGCGTGTCCGTCCCATCCCAGGTGTTTCTGAGAATCCTCGAGTCATGTATCCCTGTTCCAGAGGTCAGGCCCCTTCGTGACTTGTCACGTTACCCTGGACTGTACTCTACTCCATCTAGATCTGCTCTAGCTGCCCCACAGCATAGACACAGGCCCCTCCTCTACTCCAGAACATAATCAAACAAACCTAGAATGTTCATCAAGATTTCCTGAAAGCTTAAAGATAGCAGAAGGGAATTATAAAATAGAAACAAAAAGCTTACACCCTGGAGATAGGGAGCCCCAGCTCTCTTTGTCCCCAGCCCCTAACTTGCCTCCACGTTTCAGGGGCCAGTCTGATTTCCCCCAATTAAACGCTTTGTCCGTGTCCCCTTGATCTAGAACTTAGTTTCCCTAGTACCTTTCAGGGTACAGTAGGAGATCAAAACATCTCAGGCTGGCCTCCAGGTCAACACAATGATAATCTCAGAGATGCCGCTCTGCATGTAGAGAGGACAGCCCATCACGTTATTTTAGGGAGCCACCTAGCTCCTCTGTGTCTCAAATACCACCATTCCAAATAGGCTTTACTTGATCATGACTGAATGGCCATTAAATCCCTTCCTCCAAAATAAAGGACCATTGCCCTCAACGATGGATCATTAAGTTGCAATGAGTATGTCCCTATTTCTAGTTACCATATTTCAAAAATTGTAGGGTGCCTCTGAATTCCAGCAGCCCCCTTATCCCACTTCCACTGCAGTGGAGCCAAGGGCGCTGGCCTCACTCCTTCTGCCCAGCATACTCCTTCTGGCGGTGGATTGGATTGCTTTAAATGTTTGCAGCCTGGTAATTTTTGGACTCATTTGCAAGGCAAATGCAGACTATCTAAAATTAAGGTTCAGTGATGTGGGGCGCTAGCTGAGGATTTCTTTTGTTTGTTTTGCTTTAAAACCACAGTCTTGCTCTACGAGATTGTTATCACAGATCTAGCAAGAGGGCTGGTGGCTTTTAGTCACTGTATCAAATCTATTCTACTCCTCCTGATGAAGCTTGGATGAATACGTCCTCATGGAAAGAACCGTCAAGGTAGGGTCGTGGGCTGGTCACAGGTGAGTGCCTGTGCTGTTAGGGACAGGGCCAGGCTGGAGAGTCAGCCTGGCCTGGGGGCTGGGCTCTATGCTGGTGTTATTGGTCATGGTCCCCAACGGGAGGCTCTGGGCCCTGATTCCTCTTAGGGAAGTACAGTGTAGAGAGTTTGGTCGACTTCAAAGCCGCATGCAACTTCCTCAGATCTTTATTTCAGACTCAACTGAGTCTGATCCAGACACAGGGGGCAGGGGTGGGGAGGGGCGGTGCAGCGTTCAACTTAGTTTACTCTTGGCAAGACAGATCTTCCCGAGCCTCAGGGGGGGAAAAGCAGCTTAGACAGATATAAACAGGCTCTGAGGCCCTTTGGACATCAAATAACACTAGCAAAACAACGTTTCGATGAGTTAAGTGTAAATCAATCAGAAACATATGGACTGCATTTCCCTGAGAATACACAGGGGTTTACAAATTACAGGCGCAGGGGTTTGGCAAAATGCAATTCAGGTTTTGCCAAACCTAAAATGTTTGGAGAAGATTTAAAGAAAGTAGACTGACCCCAAATGCCTTCAACTCTGCCCATCCCTGACACTGATAATATCCCACACAACCACAAGCATTTAAGTGCATGGGGTTTAAGAGATTTATGTGTTGAATAAACTTAACTACTCACAACAAGCTGAGATTCTTTTCCAAATGAACGTTCATAGAAAACAGAAACTGCCAAGTGACTGCGCTCACAAAAGGGAGAAAACGTTTACCTTTCGAGTTGGGCCAAGGAAATATACCTACATGTTTAAACGTGCAACAAAACGGGATGTTCTGAGCTTTATAGCCTATAACTGCATATTCATGGAGCACAGGCTCTGCTTTTCCTCAGTGTGGGTCTGTCTTTGCAGGACCAGTGATATGAGTCCATTTGTTGTGTATGAGGACAATATGTTGATAAACATGCTGGTGTCTCAGTTGCATGGTGACTCTCCCACATGTGGCAGTGGGCCTCTGAGGTATTTCTGTCTCAAAGAAAGGTCGTCCCAATGGAACTAGGTCACCCAAGATCTAAATATTTCGGTTTTGATACTCAAAAGTAAAGACATGAAAGACTGGGTGGCCCCCACTCTGAGATGAGATCAAGTCCCCAGACTGGATCGGAGGCAAGGAGAGTGGAAGGGAAATAAGAAGACTCTAAAGTGAGGTCCCTGATAAAGCCCTACCACCACTGCCTCTGCCACCCGGCCCTGCACAATTGCTTGGAGGGTGGAGGGGAATGCAGGAAAGACCAAACAGGTTCGGGGATTGAAGAACGAAGGACATCTCTGCTCTTCTTTCTTGTGCCAGGAGGGCAGCGACACTGCAGCGGGACCCGGCTCCCAGCATGGGCAGGAGCAGCAGAGTGGAAGCGACTCCTGGTGCGCCCAGATCGAGAGCTCTGTGACAGCCCCACGGACTTTCCACAGCCCAGGAGCAACATGGGAGGGGGCAGGATTTCCTCCAGGCCCTTAGAAAGGGGCACAGAAGCAGGAGAAAAGAATCAGATCTGTACAGGCCTTGCCTGGGGAGTGAGCAAGTGCAGCCGCAAAGGGGCATGGGGCAGCGACCAAGAACGGGACGGTATGATACAGACCTGGGAGGCTGGTGTGGACAGATGACCTGGCTCAGAGGCCCTTCTCTCCACTCCCTGCAGCCTCCCCTTATCCAGAATGGGGACACAATCCCCAGGGATAGAAAACTATCCCGCGGTAACAGAAATTGTCAGCCACCAAGCAGAATGAGGATTTGAAATGGAAATGACATTGATTTAAACAAAAAAGTAACGTTTCTTACACACTCGGGCTGTGTTCTGAGATTCTTGCGTTCTCAGGTGAGCAAGGTCAAAACTGATGGTCAGAGGTAGCGAGCCCTTTAGACTGGTCGTGATACACCCTGACCTCTAGGGGGCAGTCGAAGCTCCGCCCACCTGACTCATCCCGAGGAGGAAAGGAAAGTTGATCAGGGTCTTCAGGGAAGGGCCAAGAGGGCCAGATTTCAGATGAAGGAACAAAGGGATCGTGAATCGACCTGGAGCACATGGAAACCCCCCCTTGCATTGTTTCTCTCCGCACAGAATCCCAAACATCTGAGCCCCTGATGTAGGGAGGTGGGGTCCACAGATAGTTGAGAAACAACCTCTTCCCGCCCTCCGCTCCCCTGGAGTGAGGGCTTAGGCAGGGCTGCCCTCAGCCTCCCTGAGAAGCTGGGCCTCTCTTGTTTGGTCACTTTGTGGGGGCTGGAGTCTTCCTCTTGCCTTCAGGGGCCCTCGGGGCTAAGGCTGGGCATGGACTCAGCGCCAACGGGTGAGGAGGCCAGGCAGGGGCCTCCAGTAGGTGTTTCATGAACAGGGCAGAGAAAATGCAAATATCTACAGTAAAAAAATACAGGGGAGATATATACATATATGGTTTTTTGTGTGTTTTTTTGGTCGCTCAAAAAATTCTTGCTCCTTTAGTGGGATCTCTGAGATGGTTTGGAGAATTCTGTTCGTTGGTGGTTCCCAAGTGGGAACACATGGGCCACTCCAAAACGAACAGAAAATTGTTTTCCTGTGTCCCTAAAGATAGAAGCTGGAATTTGTCTTTAGGGGAAAGGCTTCCTTCCTTCTGGTGTTCCCTTTAGTGTCCCTTTGGGTCATGCGGATGTCTGTCAAGAGCCTCCTGTGGTCCTGACCTCAGTGAAGTGCCATATGCAAAGACTAGTTTAGACGGGACATTAGGAGCAGAAAGTCTTCATTATTTAACAATTCTGGGACGGCCACTTAATAGGAAACTACTTAAGAGAGACAATTTTATAGTAAATAGGAAGGGAAAAAAGGTTTGATTGAGGCTTGAACTTGAAAAGTAAAACTCAAAGGACCACCTCGTGGCAGAATTGTTGAAGTTCCATGCTCCACTTCAGCAGCCCAGGTTCCACGATTCAGCTCCGGGGTGCAGACCTGCTCCACTCATCAACCATGCTGTGGAGGCATCACATACAAAAAATAGAGGAAGATTAGCACAGCTGTTAGCTCAGGGCCAATCTTCCTCAAGCAAAAAAAAAAAAGAGGAGGATTGTCAATGGATGTTAGCTCAGGGTGAATCTTCCTCACACACACAAAAAACCCCCCCAAAATTACAAAATTAAGCTTTTTCAAATTTTATATTGAACACCATTTTTTATAATTATAAATATGCATTAATTCATACTAAAACAAAAATTGAGTCATTTATTTTAGAAAAATTTTTCAAAATACTGGTACAATAGCACTAAATCTTTTGCTTTGTATTTTACTTTTACAGCCAATCATATAAAGAGACATTTTTACAAAAGTAGGCGAGAGCTTTATGAATTTTCCCAAAGGCTTCTCATGATTGTTTGATCCATACACTTTTTCTTTGAAGTGCCTCTGGAGTCACTATTTCTGCCAATTGTTTTTCCCACTGTTAACCGGCACACCTCCACCACGCCCCTATTTTTCACAGTTTGCTATGATTCCAGCAATTCTCCACCTTGAGTCACCTCAATGCCATGAAATCCTCCATCTTTTGCAGGATTTGAAACTTGGCTTTGAAATAGATTTGCATGGCTTGCATTGTCGTGTCACATGTTTATGATATCCCACAGTCATCAGGAGACTGATCCAAAAAGGGCTCCGGGGGGTGGATGGGAGAGGAGCAACAGTGGATGTTCATGCGCAAATATTTTTGTGTTATCATGACTTTCATTTCCCTATACAACCTTGTAACTATAGGAACTCCAATAACGAACAGTTGGATCACCTCTATAATGATGTTGTTTAAAATAGGGGGAAGAATCAATATGTCTCTACAGGAAGGGTTGTTGTTTGTGGGGTCTTTTAAAACTTTTCCCTTCCTCTCTTGGCCTTTTTGAGGAGGACATCCAGCAACCTCAGCCTCTAGTTGAGACCTTCAATTTGCAGTTTAGAATAGCTCCGGGAGGGTAGCATGAGCCCCATGGCCTTTGACCAGAAAGGAGGTTGAACAATGATTGCAGTCCAAACCTCTAGTTAGAAAGAATGTTCATTTGCCTGGGTGTCCCCGGAGCCAGAGATAAAAGCGATGAGGATGATGGTAGTAAAACATAACTGGTATCTTTAACAAGTAAGAAATAAACGGTGTCATCAGAAAATGCTTTCGTTTGGTCCTCCTCCACTGCCCACTTAAGCCAGCCCTGTGGGCCAGCATTCCCTGCATCCCTGTGGAATCTCAGGCTGCTAATCCTTTCAGTTGAGATAATTAAGTCTTCTGGTCACTTCTAATCACAGGAACAGACAAAGTTCAGGAACTAACATGCCCAGTTCCATGCCATAATCGAAAATGCCAACTCACTTCTCCTATCCCGAAGCATGGGCCTGCTTCAGGGGGGAAGGTTCCAGAGGTAAAGGTGGGCAGTGGGGGTGGAGGACGAGCTAGGCTTTTCTATTTCCTGCCCCTAGACCCACACACCCACGTTTCTACTCTTCCCCTGGGCTCTCGTCGAAAGGGTCACGGGCTCTTTAAGAGTGAAAGTGGGGCAGAGAGGAGGAGGGGGCGCAGGGACTGCCCGTGGGCTGGGCGTGGGTTCCTCTGACCGTGTGGAGGGTGGTTCTGTCATTTCTTGCCCAAGCGGGGACACTTCTGAGAGCGAAAGTAGGCATGCTTTGTAATTACAGCAGAACAACAGATACCAACTAGGACTGGCAAAGAGGACATGTGGTCAATCTGTTTAAAGCTGACTTCCTGTGGCTCTGGTGGGTCTTCCAGCCAGGATCTCTCATCTGAAGTGCTGCTAACTGAGGTGGCGCGTCCGCCTCTGCCCAGCTGCTTACGTGTCCCTCCTAACTCTGGGGTTCTCCAGACCGTTCCCCGACGGGTTCTCTTTTGGGCTCCCACCACTCCTCCAGAGAGTCTTCTTAGAGCTAGAAGACCGGTCCAGGCCACCCTCCCATGGGGCCTCTCAGGTCCGCGGGAAACGTGTTCACTGCCCTGCTGGTGATGGTGGGCGGTGCTGCAGAACACAAACAATTTATTTTGGAAGAAATTTTCTATCCAATCTCTGCCACTATTTTGACCTTTGACTCTTCTGATGGTCAGCGAATTGCTGGAAGGTCAGTTCTGGGTCATCTCCTTTGCACATCTTACTTTGGTGGCCAGCATCTCACTATGAAAAATGACAGAAATTGGCACTCATCATTGAAAGAAATTGGCACTCTTGGTCTTAAGGACTTCAGCTGAAACTACAACAGAAAAGGTTCTTTTGCCATCCTTTCATAACAACAAAAATAATAACAATACTAGTCGCTCTGCCTTCCTGTTACTGTAGAACAGTGCCTATGCTAAGGGCTTACGAGATCATCTCATTCAGTTTTTACAACAACTCATGAGGTGGGTACTCTTATTAGCCATGTTTAGAGATGAAGAAACTGAGGTTTGGAGAGTAAGTTAGTTTGCTGCAAATCACACAGTTGATAAAGAGCAGATTTCTCTCACTGTAGAGGATTGTGGAATTCAGAACTTTGATTCCAACAGGACACTCTACTCATGATAACTCTTGGGGCCAATTAATGGTCCCTATGTGCTGTAAGTTTGGAGCCAGTTGAGGGATCAAAACATCAGCTCTATTGCTAGAAAAAGCTGGGTAGGAGAATGCAACTGAACTTAGAACCAAACAAGCCTTCCTGCTCTTTCTTCTCTGAGTTGACCTCACTCCCTGTCCCCCACCATACCCACCAGTCAGATGCCCACTGAAGGAGTAGGGCCTCCCCAGCTGCACTTGCCATGGTGGGGAGGCTCACACAGAGGGGCGTGCACTCCCCCGGGGGTCAGGCACATCTCACAGGCCCAACAGGGTTCCAGCGCCTCTCCAATAGAAGTCACATTCCAGGCTGTGGGCAGTCAGGCCAGCCAGTCACGTCCACCTGCTCTGGGGGGACCGAGGCGAGAGAGGGGCTGAGAGATGTGAGGAGCTCTGTGATGGTTAGTATGCTAGAACCAAGGCTCTGCTTGGAGAGGAAGATGCTGAGGTCACTGGTGGGGCCTAGAGACACAGTAACTTTGGGGAAGGGAGAAACTCGGAATTGTTCATATAGGTGCCATTGGCTTTGAGGAGCCAGCCTCCAAGTGGGAAGTTAACCGCAAGAGAGGAGTCAGCAGCAGCAGAGGAAATTCTAGGTCTTTTCCTGGCTTATGTGGCACATTGCGGGCTGGCCCTTGAACCACGTTGTGTTCCTATTTTCCCCTGCATCTTGCCTCTTGGTTAGAATGTGGTACCAGGCATGTGGGACTTGTTAACTGTTGAGTGTGAGGTTGCATCCGTATTCATGAAAGCACCCAGAGATTTACGCAGGCCTCATCAGCATGAAATGTCCAGTGAGACTCAATAACCAGCCCACACCCACCCCGTATTAGTTTTCTTTTGCGGCTGCAACAAATCACCACACTTAGTGACATAACCACACAGATTTATTATCTTACAGTTCTTGAGGTCAGAAGTCTGAAATGGGTCTCACTAGGCTAAAATCAAGGTGTCGTCAGAGCTGTTCCTTTCTAGAATCTGTTTTCTGACTTTATGCAGCTTCTAGAGGCTGCCCATATGCCTAGGCTCATGGCCCCCTTCCCTCTTCAAAGCCAACAATGGCCAGTCCAGTCTTTTTCACATTGCATCACCAGACGCTGGTTTTTCTTCATGTTCCATCTTTGAAGGACCCTTGTGATTACACTGGACCCACCCAGATAATCCAGGATAATCTCCCTATTTTAAAGTCTGCTGATTAGCCAACTTAATTCCATCCACAACCTTAATTCTCCCTTGCTATATAACATAACATATGCACAGGTTCTGGAGATTACAACGTGGACATCTTTGGAAGGTCGTTATGCTGACTAGCACACCCCCTCAACCCTGCCAAGCATTGCACACACACATACACACACACACCTGACATACCTAACTACTCCCAAAGAGGAAATTTGAACGATGAACTCACTCGTATCTGGTGGCTCCTGCATCTGTCTTAATTGGTCCCTCTTCTAAGTAAGGCTGATTTTTACTTTTTGAGACATCACAGATTCACTGCTTGCTTATTTTTAATCTTATTTTAAGTTGGAAATGCTTTAACCCAATTAGGAACAGCGCGTGGTATTCACATGTGATCTCAAGCCAGTTATGGATTCATTTCAATCGGGCGTCAGCTGATGGCAGCCCTTTAATGCCAGGCACTCCCGGAGGTGTGCTGGGGGGCTCCCAGCCTCCACAGTCACATCTGCATGTCTTCAGAGCTGCTTCCTAGCAGTGGAAGTGTTAACTGCATGATTAAAGATCATGAGCAGAAAGAAATATTTTATATTTTTAAAACCCCACAGTTATCAATCTTTATTATAAAAAACATATGTGCCTG